TGCTGAACCTCACCCTGGCACTTCATGTTCAGCTCTTAACACCAGTGGCCAGGAGCTAGAACAAGGTACATGATGTCCTTCTACCCTCCTCTGGCTCTCCTGGCTGGTGAGCCACAACTCCCAGCTGCTCTCAGAATAAAATGAAGCCACATTCCCTGGGGCTGCTGGGCAGCAAGGGACTTTTTAGGAAGGACTAGGCTTTTAGATGCTTACTGTGCATGGTCTTGGGACAAAAATGCCACTGACAAAGCTAACACTCCTGGCCTGCAGAGAACTATTTAGTCCATGACAGGCAACACTGATATCACATATCTTTAAACTTAATGGTCCCAGATACATTTACACTTCATTTTTTCCTTTTAAAAAAATCAGGTGTCTTCAGCATTTCATCTTCTACGTAGTTAGTTAACAGGAAATTGCTACAGTTATCTAAGCAACTGACTCTGCGAAGCATAGACAGGTCCTATCTCTTGAGTCTCAAACATCTGATAGATGGCCTGAGGAAAGGATTAGGCCAGAATCAAATGAGTTCAGGCTCCAATATTAACTCTATCTACACAAGGTGCTTATCCTCAAGTGTGCCTTCATCTCTCCACCCAATAAGAAGGAGCACTGCGCACCCTCCCAGCAATAGCTTATAAGGAATTGTTCTTCTACATGCAACGGTGGTGTTTTAAGTGTAAAACGTTTTGACAGAATCTTACCACATGCCCATATATCCACTGGTTTTCCATAAGGATCTTTTCTTAAGACTTCGGGGGAGAGGTAGCCTGGAGTGCCAGCAAACCCTGCCAGGAAACGGATGACATGAAGTACTTACAGTACCCAAGCAGAAGAGATCTTGCCATATCACAAAATCCACTAGTGGTAACCATCAAATTCCAAAACCCGTTTCCCACCCTTCATCTCATATCTGCTAGAGCTACCTCTTGGTAAACCAACAGAAAGAGAAAAAAAAAAAAATGAAGAAAATCAGATGGGATTGAGTGTCTATGTATTGCAGGAAAATCGGAAAAAAAAGGGGGACCGTGTCAACCAGCTGGGCACAAACTCGTATACCAGGCCTTGTATCATTGTTGCATATAATGGCTTGGAGTTTGAAAACACAAAACACAGATGGGACACACACGATTGCCAAATGGTGTGGGCAGACCAGGAGAAGCAGCCATCTCTCCAGAACCTCTGCAGCACTGCAGAGTCTCAGAGCTGATGTTTAGCCTGAGAAGGTCTCATTTCTAATTATGTTTTAGCTAAACAAAGATAAGGCCAAATCTAAATGTGCCCGAGGAAGGCCAGGTCAAATGCATTTCTGTAAAATGACCAAACAAAATTCCAGATGTCTACACTTCTGAGCAGTAGGAAAGTTCAGATCAGGGTCTAAACTTAGCAGCTGCGTTCACCTCTGACACTAGCATCTTCTGTAAACCGAGAAGAAAAATAGAGAAGTACATAGCCATTTTTTCTGTCTTTGTTTATCATATTCTTTCCTCTATTGCAGTAGGGTTGTGCCCAAGGACACAGAGGCTGTGATGCTTGGAAAGGAAGCAGCAACGCCAAATACACACTGGCGTGCTGGAAGAGTCGAGAGAAAGTACTCAGGGAGGGTGCAACTCAACCAACCACCAGGAAAGGGGGGACCAAAAGTGGGAAAGCTCAAACACTCTTACCAAACCAGGCCTGCTGCTCTCCCTGGACTTCTATAGCCAGTCCGAAGTCAGCCAGTTTGACAGCAGCACCCTTACATTTACTTGCCAGTAGTAAATTCTCAGGCTGGGGAGAAGAAAGAAAAAAGGGGGTAAGAATGAAAGACCGACATCCTCGTTAAAGCCTCCTACCTCAGTATTCACGTCATTAAATTGAATCTGCTGACTGAATTTAGCAGGCATGTACTGAAGCTGTTCAGGTGAAGGCAGAGCAACAGCAACAAATGGCCTTGACCTAGAGCAGCAGAAAATCCTCAAGTCTAACACAAATCCTCTGTGGGAGCCAGAGCCTCTCCCAACCCAGCCCATACGTTACATGCCGACACCAGAGGGCACTGGCAGTACAGTTCCTGCAGCACAGAACCCAAAATTTGTTTCTGTCATCCCTGCAGAGAGTAATTGGGGGGGAAGAGAAGTGGGGGGAAGATGCAGTAGATAAGATCTGCAGTGATGATTCTCCCCATGAACATTACACGGTCCCCAAGGCACTGGAAAAGTAAATATGATGCTAATAAGGGCTGCCAAATACAGCACCATAATGTGGGAAGGCATCATCTGGATAGGCAGTAGCTTTCATCCCTTACAGAAAAAGCCTCAGCCTCAAATTGGCATAAGCAGCACAGCAGTGAGTATTCTTGTAAGCTGCTTTTTCATGCTACATATTTACATCAGCGTAAAATATGCTGTTTTGCTACTACCACTGTCACCTATATGACAAGCAGCCATGTCACTTCCCCCATGTGCCAGGAAAGGGAGACAGACTTTTGCCCCTCACATTTCCGCCTCACACGAATCCCACTCAATTCATAATTCTGTTGTGTTCCAGCAGAGGACTTCAGCAGAAGGCTTAACACAACTCCAAAATTTGTACAGAGAGTCAGCAGCTTCCTCTGAAGCATCAGAGCAGCTAGTTATGTGGGACCCTTTGAAACCTCAAAGCCTTTAAGGTGGTGGCTATTACAGCTCTGCAGGAAACCCAACTTGTAGACCCCTCCTGATCGTTTGTGCAATTCATATCAACTTGAGTTTTTAACCGAGCAAGATGGAAGCCTGGAAATCCAGAAACAGGAGCTTGTCTCAGTTTCACAAATCTGATGAAGGTCTTTTCTGCAGCCTGCTCGCCAGTTTCATCCCATGGAAACCCTCTAATCCTTGTTCTGCCTGACAGGAACAAGATGCTTTGCTCATTCATCTGCCTTAAAGTACTGGGCACGTGCCTTGCTTCTGCTTTGAACAAAGGGAGAACAGCCTTGCCCATCATAGTCCTTGCCATAAGCAGCATGGAAGGAAGGGGAACGGGGTCTCAATACATTTGGATGCCGCTGGCTGTTCACTATATGGGAACTGGAAAAGACTGTTCATCAAGCTACACTGATGAAAATTCACCAGTGTAAACAAGTCCCTAAAGCAGAAGACCAGTGAAGTCTTCTGAAAATCCCTCCCAACTTCAGCTCACACCTGGGCTTGGCTTGACTAAGAAACAGTGAAATTCAGGCCAGGGCTGTGCTAGTTAAGCACTATTTGCTTTTAAAAAACAGCTACAAACACCTTAAGGCTAATGGTGCTTATCCATGTGCATGTTTGCCAACATATGGGTTGTCTCAGGTTTCACATACTTTTTGGTAAGGATGTGAATGCATTCCCTAATTTCTTACACTCCCTGTGGGGAGCTCAACATTTGAAGTTCTTTCAGAGCATGTCAGCCAAAAGACAGGCTTATGAGAGGGAGGTGCAAAAGACAAAACTTCACTTGAAGCAAGCTCTGCAGTTATTACACACTGATCCTGAAGGCCAAGCTTTTGGCAAGGAGCTAAATATTAAATAAAGAGCACGGGATCTTTTATTGCTAAAAGGAATAGCTGGATAGTTTCAGTGACTCAGAGCAAGCCACAGAAGAAACACGTTAACTACAGTAGGGAGTGTCTAGCAGCTGATAAGTTCTAAACAAGTTCACAACTTTCACACAAACAAAACCTGGGAAGCAAAACAGATTATATCTGAACACAGGATGCAAAAGAAAACTTAAACCATCCTGTACTGGAAAACACGACTGATTTTCACAGAAGCCCTAATTTTGGGCAGTAGTGCCTGTTGGAAGCTGCTTTCTCAAGAGCAGGTGTCAGCTCTAATCCAGAGCAGCCATTCCACAGTAGATCACTTGCATCTTTTCACAGTGCTCTGAATCAGAAGGCCAAAAATGTTGCATGGGAGTTTGCCAGGAACACTAAGGGTTAACAGCTGTCCACTAGATCAAAACACCAGGGAACACTGCCACCAAGCTTGCAACATGCTTTTACCTTGCTCTCTGAAGAATGTTTTTATACTTTTCCCCTTATGCACTGTATAACAAACCAAATCCAACACTAGTAGCAGGTGTCATTCTGCATTAATTTAACTGGACCACTGGTGGCCATCACCATTCGCACTTTAGACAGAGAGGGCTGCAGGGCAGGGAGATCTTCCTGCACAAACCTCTTCATTCTGGAGCCTGCCCAGCTCCCAATACAGCTGGCACTGCGTGGGAAGGGAGTTTAAGTAACTACACTGCAGGGGCTCTGGGTCTATAAATGTGTTATAATGTGGCAAATGCTTGATTCACCCAGTGTTTAACTGGCCAGAAGTTTTGGTTTTAGATTAAAAGCGCTTCTACTGATGAGAGAAGAAAGAAATGACATGAAAAATTCTTGTTGTGCATCTCTGCCCTAGCCCAATGGCATGTGTTTGGCAACAGTGCAGAATAAAAATATACATGCTCTGTGCAGACAAACACATCCTGGCAGATTGAACAGAGATTGCCCCAGGTCTCTAGAGATCTCTTCAATGGCAGACTAGAAAGTGTCCTTCATTATAATGAATCCTACCCAAGCTTCTCTGAAAGCATACTGCACTCCAAGGTTCACAACTACTCCATCCTGGAGCTGCCTCAGAGAGGCTGAGAGCTGGCAAGGTTCATGAAGACTGAAAACTTCCTCGGGAATTCAGCACACCCTCTAGAAAACCCTGAAGGAGCAAATTTGTGTTTCAGGAACCCCTGAGCCCAGTTCAAGTTAAAAAAACCCTGCCAGCTGGCAACACAGTATTCCTGTCTGGCCTCTTCCAATGATCCCCTGGCTGCTCTCCTCAGCCTCTGTGGCACGGAGGAAATATTACCTTCAAGTCCCTGTGCACGATATCATGCTGGTGAATGTGATTCACACTCTCCAGTATCTGATGAATACAGTGGCTGCAAGATAAAGGGAGAGACACACAAAGTTATGCACACACACACATACACTTGGCATCTCATCTCATCCCAGGACCATTTCCCTAATTTTATATTTACACCAGGGAGAGTTCAAGCCCCCAGGCTGAATCCCTTCATCATGCCCACTGGATGCCACAGCTCAGTACTGTCACAGCTGGACACTCCCAGTCCCCTCAGCAACAGGATGCTAAACATCCTATCTATAGCAGGACCAGAAAGCCTCTCTCCTACCTCACGTCACCTCCTACCTTTCCTCCCCATCACACTAAGCATCTCACTTGTTCCTTCAGCCAACAGTGCCCACTCCACACAGGAGAACCAAGGCACCTGAGTATCTCGAAACAGCAGCCAAGACTGGGCAAGTAAGACCTAATCGCTCCAGGAAACATTCAGCTGGGCTACTCCTGAGCAAAGCATAAACTTTCAGAGAGCAGCAGCCTCCCTCAGCAAATTCAGGATGACGACTCCTGGGCGCCTGCCAGTTTGCAAAGCTTTCAGAGCAGCATCTCAAGCACTTTACATACACAGTGTGCACACACACCCGCTTGCTGGGTGCCTTTTAAGTACAGATCCCACTTAAGCGGTTAGTGATCTGAAAAGCAGACTCATTCCCTGTTAAGTGCAGTGTGCTGCACTCCCCCAGCTCACCGAAAACAGCGCCTCTGCCACTCTCACTGCTGTAACCACAGGGGCAAAAGCAAGATGTTATTTACACCTGTCACAAAAGGACAGCGCAACACACCCATGGGTGAGATTTCTGGTTGAAACATTGGCTCAGCTCCCGAGGGTGAATGTGGAATAGGGTAGGGATTTTGACAACTATGGCTGGGCAGTAAGCACCCAGATGTGGGCAACTCAGATGGGTCTGGGTCCTCACTGCAGGATCAGTCAGTCCCCTCACCGAATTCTACAAATCTCAGGGGAACAAATTTGAAATGAGTGAAATATCTGAGGGAAGGGAAATTGGCTACTGGAAAAGATGCGAAGAGAGTGAGGGGAGGAAGAGGAGAGGAGGTGAAGCACTGTGTATTTGTTACCCCCACCCCTCCAGAGCTGGCAGTACAATCCTCAGGGTCGGAGTCCATGAATATCTCCCCGCTCCCAAAACAAAAATGTATAATTAGAACAGAGCCGAGTCTGAGCGAGAGAGATTTTCTGGCCAAAAATGGCAAAAGTGTGAGGTGTCCCAGGCGAGCCAAGCGCGGCGAATTGGCACGGACCTCGCTCCCTCGCTCTCCCAGCCTGCTCTGGAATTCAGCTCGGCATGAGGAGAGAAAGGGAGGAGTTTCACTCTGTCATCTTGTGGGCACTGTGAGACCTGGCCCGCTGACAGTCAGAGGGCTGAGCACCCTGAGGAAGGCTCACAGAGCAAAAGACAGTTCTCCTTTTCCTCTAACCCTGCCATAATTTTCCTGAGCAGTGTCAGTCACTGCCAGCTCTTGACCATTTCAGGGAACAGGCACTGGCAAGAGGGACAGGGGGAAGGACGATGATTGATAACCTCAAAACTTCCCAACTTCAAGGCAGAACGGCTTGTGTGACTGTGTATCTGTCCGAGATGCTGTGCCTACAACATCTGTACACCCCACTGAAAACATCTATACGGCTCTCAGACCTCTCTGCCAGGAGCTCCATCAGAGATGACGATCTCACTGGCCTTCCCCATCAGCAGATGGCTCACGGCAGAGCATGCGGTACAATGCCTCATTTGAAAGCACCGTGCAATGCCCAGAAGACAGAGGCTGTAAGCATACCACAGGGAAAGCAAATAAGTGCCCACAACGGTACCTACACTAACCCACCAGGTCATACTCTTCCCTTCCTTGCAGTCAGTATGATCTTTCTCACAGTACTGCCTACCGAGCTCACCCTGCAGCAGCACCCACTACTCTCGTCTTACCCCTCTCCTCTCACGGCTCCCCTAATTCCTGCTGCAGCAAGGGTTAGGATAAGGGATAAGAACATGCGTGCAGAATAAGCAGGGGTGAAATGTCACCATCAGGCCACTCCCAGGCCCTGCTAAAGCAGAACAGGAGTTGCCTAATCCCAGCTTTGATTCCAAATGCTGCACGTCCAGCAGACAGACAGGTCAGAGAACACTCTCAGCTACTGCTGCACAAAACACCCACCCTGCATAAACTACAAAAGGGAGAAGCACAAGCCATTTCAGGAAGGTCACACATAGGAAAGAGGGGACACACTCAGAAAAAGAAGGGCATAACTCTAAATCTTTTTAATATTAAAATATAAAGGTTGCTCTCACATGTTGTGCCTTTTCTCACTGTGCCAACCAGCTCCCAGTCAGAGAAAGCTTCCACAGAAACACAGCCTTCAAAGCCCGCTCTCCCCCCTGCTCTGTAAACCATTACCTAGACACAGGCAAATTGAATGGATCTGCCCAACAGCAATGGCACATCACTGGAACCCCTACTAGGAGAAGGCAGAGGCCAAGCAGGCAGTGCTCTTACAGCCACACGACAGGTCTCCCCTGCATTTGCTTAGTAAGGACACCCTGTCACAACCCACCAGAAAGGTCAGGCAGACAAAGCCGCTAGCAACGGGTCTTCCAGCAAAGAGCACAGCATCTGCAAGTGGCAAAGACAGCAGTGTCTGCAAGCAGCAACGGCCAGGGCTGCGGTGAGTCAGGCTGACCAGTGACAATAGTTTATGCTAATAGCAGAAAGAGGAGTTTTTTCTTTTCTAGACGGGGAGTAAGAGTGTCAGAACAAAGCCATGCACAGAGCAGCAGTCAGGAAACTCGTTCCACTTGCCAACACACGTGACACATACACAGAAGGGTCTGGAAAGAGTCTTACCTGGCATCTGCTTCACTGTAGTATTCTCTGGCAACAATATCCTCAAAGAGCTCCCCACCAGTAACCCTGGAGTGCAAAAGAACAAGGGAGGTCACAGAGTCCGTGCACGTCTAGCTCAAGGCTGCATGGGACGTACATGGCTGCCCATCCGGGCCCTTTACCGCAGCCTGTGTGGGGACCTGCAGCACAGGGGACCTAGGGTAGAGCTCCACCACTGACCTGCGGCACAGAGGTGCCAGGGCAGAGCTCCACCACCACGGCTCCAGCACTGGTACATCCATGTGACTGACCCCTTGGACTGTCATTGCACCAGCAGCGTACAGGACACTGTTGACACACTGGGCACAAATTGCCCACGGTGCTCTACAGAGCTTAGTAGACGCTAAGCTTGGGCAGAACGTCCCTTCTCTGACCCCTGCCAATCTGCCTCAGAGACAAAAGTCAAACAGCCTCCCTATACAGGATAGCTGTCCTTTGCCATCCCACGCTTACACCTGCTGCCAGGAGCCTTCCTGGTCCATCCCCTATCACACAGTCAATGGATTTTTGTCAAATAGGCCAGAGGTATCTACAGGTCTCAAAAGAGAAAGGGAGAATTATATTAATGCAGGTGCTTTTTATTCCACTTTTAGTCAGCCTACCACATGCCTGTATCACTGGTGAAGCATCAAAGCCAAAGACAGACACTTACAGATCAAAGACGAGGTAATGGAAACCTTCTTCTGAAATACTGTCATGGAGTCGCACTGCAAAAACATAATCAAGAAATGGAGATTTACAGAGCATGTAGCAAATATGACACTTCACAAATCAAACGCATGCACACAGCCAAGTTCTCCCTCAACCCAATAAGTCTATTAATTCCCCATGCCCTTCACTTTGTGTGCTCACTTAGTGACCTATTTCCTTCCGTTATCTCAAAGGAACAGATGGGTGTCCTTCACATACACCCACCCCTCCCCAGCGTCAAAACAAACTCTAAATATCTTTGACCTCCTGTTCGTTCTTCTTCTCTAACGCTTCAGTACCCTCCTTTCACATCTGCCTACTCTTTCCTCCACGTTTTGCGATCTTCTCCCCACCCATTCTTATTTCCCAAAACAAACCCTTTTCAGACTCTCCCAATCCAAAAATTGCCTTCTGAGCCCACCTGCATGTCAGTGCCATTGCTCTCCCTTCTGCCTTTCATCTATAAAGCTCAATGAAGTTCCCTCCCTTTATTTCCTTTTCCTCACTTCATTCTTACAACCCAAATCCTTACACAAAATTCAGAGCCAGTTTCTTGTCTCATTTTTGCTGATATGTTTGTTACCACTGACATATCTGATCACATTCCCCTTCTCAAAATTTCATTCTCCTTCAGCTTTCTTACCTATCCCCACTAGTTCTGCTCCTATTGCGTAAACTAACTGTCATCTTTTTTCCTTTCCTTGCCCCCTTTAACCTGCAGGACTGGGGCTGCCCCCATGACGGGCCAGTATCCCCTGGTATTCTGGAGTCTCTGGGGCTCTGTCCTCCTTTCCCCATGTTACATGTGAGCAATAGCTATTGTATCCATGCAGCCAGCACAGTGCCATTTCCTCCCGTCTGAATAAAAATCTCAATTTCTTCGATGTTTCCTGGATACCTAGGCACTAATTCTAACCCCAGAGGGGAAACTAAGCCCCTGATTTCATATTGCTACCTACCCCTTACTTTTTGCTTTTCTCCCCTGCTGGAAAACTTCACTATTTTCCCTGCCAATCAGAGTCACAAGCTGGCAATCCTATTTGACTCAATTCCTAAACCTCCACACCCTGACTAGGATGAGTTGTCTTCTTCACATGACCATCTACAGTCCTTCCCTATTGATTCACCCAACTAAAGCAACTAGCTGAGACTAGACTGGGTCTCAGTCACCGCAACACCTTGTAATCGAGTATTGACCGAAGTAACATCACTGTTCTCATCCCTGCAAGAAAAAGCTCGTTATCCTGCTCTGTCACTTTAACTGTACCTTTGCCTCCCTTCCTCGTCTTCCATTCTCTTCCACATAAAACACAGGTGACCTGTCTTGACTTTTCCCAACATCATGATTTTTCTCTCTGCCAGTATCAAGAGGTCAGTTTGCACCTCTTATTGGCGCATGACGTCATTTACCATCACAGTCTTGGGAATGTTTCAAACTAGCACTTGGCACATGCTCCTGCCTCATATGGAACAGCTTTTGCAAATGTTCTCAATGCTCTCCTCTAATCCTCCTTGCAACTCTCCTTTGCTAAGGCACCCTTCCACATGCACGCAAACACACACAAACTCAAAATTGAGAGTAGCACAGATGTGCAGAGACCACTGCCAGTACCTTTCCTAAAAGGATTTAATTCTTCCCTTATTCTTTCTGCCTGTACTTTCCTACATTTTTCCTGCCTTTATTTACAAGCTCTCTGGGCTGGTCCCTTGACCAGTTTCCTTTCCTTAGCATTTCTACTGCATCTAACTGCAGGGGTTTGGGAGGAGCACTCCACACAGCATAATGCTGCAAACAAGCAAGTACAGTTAGAGTACCAGTACGGCAGGTGTTTCAGGCACAACATGCTGTTCCTACAACGTGAAAACAGAGACACATCACCTTTAAGAACTACGTTCCTCAAACCATTCGCTGCAAAAAAAGTTTTCTTCCAAGTAAGCAGTTTTAGTTGGCTTTGTAATAACTTCAACGCAATACAACTTTGTGTTTACAAGAAAACTTGCCTCCTGAGCACTTGGCAGAAACCAGCAGAGGAGGCATTACAAAAACACAAGCAAGAAGAAGGGTATTTCCTAGGCGAAAAGATTTCCATTCAAGACTGGAAACAAGACAGGAAGCGGCTTAAACAGACACTTGGATTCCCAGTGCAAGGCAGTTTTCCCTCCACTGCACAAGACTGTTTGAGGTGAATGCAGGGGACAGACACATGAACAAGAGCTGAGGCCCAGGACACGGGCAAAAGTCTGTGAAGGGACCTTACGAAGAGGGAACAGATGGAGAAACTTCAAGGAAAGCTGAATGTGCTAATAAGGTCATGTCTAGTGACGCTCGGTGTGCACAAAAAAAGCATTCTCCTTCCTCTGGCACCTGAAAGGTCATCGAAGCACTGCAAGAAACACCAAGCAGAGAGGAGAGTGGCACGAATTATATCCTGACAGAGGAGGAGCACAGCCACCAGCAGGCTGAGAGCAGTGGCTATGAAAAGGGAACAGCAAACACATCTGCAGGTAGAAGTGAGAAATAGTGAACGATAAACTTTGATGCAAAGATGCGGGCAGCAAATTACATCAGAAAATAAAACATAAATGAGCTGATTGGTGCTATTTCTTTGTCCTGAGGAAAGGAATTTTGTCAGATACATTATGAAAGGGGAAGGAAGCAGCAATTCAGCTGGCAGAGACTGGCAGAGGCAGCAGAAAGAGCCTTCAAGGACAGTAAAACACTATTTGCGTCCTTAGGTGAGGAACCATGACAGGAGGACAGAGACAGTTCATAAATAGTGATGCTGTACATCACCCTGGGGCTGCACAGCAAAAGAAGGCCTCGGAGGCAGGACGCAGGTCATTAACTTAACAAGGGAGCTGCTTCCTCATGATGGCTCAGAGCGATGCTGGAACAAAATCTGCCCGGGATTTGATCTGCTGAGGTAACAAAGCTCAAGGAGTAATGGTAGAGCAGCAAAACCCAGAAAAGCTATAGAAAAGATGACAGTGGGCCCCACCACCCTGCATAGGAATAATTAGCAACAGCTCAAAACATTAGGCTTAAAGTGTGGAGGGGGGCAGCAATGAGGGGAGTCAAAAAGGATTAAGGAAAGTCTGAATATACCAAAACTCTTGTGCCTTTCAATTCCAGCCCACACCTACTTCATACCAATGCTGATGGGAAGAAACAAAAGCCATACGCAGTAGCAGAACAGCAAGAACACCCAATGCCCTTTCACCCTAACGTTTTGCTTACCTACCCTCCTGCAGAGCCGTAAGAGCCTTCCTGATCGGCAAGGATACTGCAATCAGCAGCTCTGATGCCATGGTTCACCCTGCTGACACACAAGTTAAAATACTCTGCTTTCTAATACAGTGCTAACTACCAGGGACTGCCAGCTTAAAAACATGATCTGCCTTTTCCAAAGCCATTCAGCCAGCCCATGAAATGGCATATATTCAGAAGTAACTCTACCACCTTTAGCTCATGTCAAGGATAAAAGCATTTTAAAAGTTTCTTGGTCCCCTCTCCACTTTGGTTCATAAATATGATCCACATTGTGCTAATATTCATCATAAAGATACACAAACATCAGATACCATCTGATACCTCCACCTTCCAGACAGCAGGGGGGCTCTAGCCCCCTTTGCTTTAAAGATGTCCTATGTGAGTGCCCTCCATCTGAGGGCAGGACACAGGTTCCGGAATGGCCCATTCCAAGAGTGGGTAACAGGAACCCGAGTACTGGGCTGTCCTCTGTTTCAGACATTTTCCCAAGAAAAGGAGATCCCATTTGTTCCACAGGCTGCTGATCCTGACGCACCATCTAACATCTCTATTACTACCCAAGTCCAGCTTCAACCAAGCAGTTGAGCAGGGCCCACACCGGCTGCTCACACCTGTTTAACCTGTTGACACCAGAGGGTGAAAAATATAAAATATGTAGATGCTGGAAGGTAAAGGATTCCCAAAAACTGACTATCCATGATAAGAAAAATGAAGAATTAAAAATAAAAGTATTCATCCAGTTAACCTTTCCTTCAAAAATATTAGAGAACACTTTTTTTTTCCCTCTCGTCAGGGGAGCAGTGACATGTATGTCTAGTGCAGCAGGCTAGACAAACGCACACATCACAAAACGAGTCTCAAGTCGCAGCAACAGGGAAGTTGCACAACAGCAACACAGGGTCTTCCAAAAGATGACCAAACTACAAAAGAGTCCAGTACTTGCCAAGGAACCTGATCTCACTCTATTCACCAGAAGATGAAGTAGATTATCTCTATTAACTGATTCTGTCACCCAGAAGCAGCGATTCAAACTGTGTTTCCTTCCTAGCCAAACACTCCTAACACAAGGATTCTTACAGATGTAGGAAATCAGTCCCTGCCAACACCACGCACAGCCAGGGTCACCTGATGACTGCTCCCATGTCAAAAGGTCTCTGATGGATGCAAGAGCACTTACTACAGCGGTTAGCAAGAACAGGCGAGGAGAGGGGAGTAAGAAAGAAAACAGAAGCAAGTCAGACAACGAGGCACTAAATCAGTTACAGGATATGGCGAAAGACTTTACCCAAGGTTTTAGGCAGAGCACAGAAAAAAGTCCCATCCACACAAAGAACAGAGGCCTCGTAGAGTTCACAAGCACATTTAATTTTGTAAGACTGTCAAGTCTTACAGATAACTTCAGAAATAATAAATAAAAAACCACAGCACTAGTAAGCAATGCCAGAACAAATGCTATCCAAAGGAGCAGAATCAGTCACAGACTGTTATGTAGAAACATCTTCTGCAACAATACCAGCTGGTCGCTCAGCAGAAAGTGTGCATCACCACTTGGATGATATCTCCAAGAAGCACATAGATTCTGGGAGAGATAAGCAGTTGTTTCAGTACAGCATCCTGATGAAACAATGTTTTCAGCAG